TTTTCCTAGTAAAATTGTGTTAAAAACTTTAGGGGAATCCTATAAAGAAAAGTAGGACAATATAAAGAAAAGTAGGACAATATCTATTGGGTTGTGAGCTTGAGCTATTATAAATGTATCAAAGTCAAACATCATGCCCTGTCTAACAAGAACAATGTGCTCCCAAGTAGATAGATTTTTTGGTAGGAGAGGGAAACCAAACTTTCTTTGTAAGGACGCGAAAACTTCTCCCTGATATATGCATGCATTTTAAAATCTTGAGAGTAAGTATAGGAGGGAAAGTCCAAACACAACAATATACGGTAGAGGTAGAGGTAGTTGTGGCCTTGAGCGGCTACAAAACCCATTTATTTTGAATGAATTTGTATTGAAGTATAACCAGGAGCTCCTTTTTGGGCAGGTTCGATCCCTAGTGGGCGATAGAATGGCTCTAATTATGCAAACCATTTCAGCAGTAATCGTAGCATTCACAATGGGGCTTATAATTTCATGGAGGCTGGCGCTTGTAGTAATCGCAGCCCAACCAGCAGTAATTAGCTGCTACTACACAAGACAAGTACTCCTACGGAAGATGTCCAAAAACGCCACCAAATCCCAAGAACAGTGCAGTAAGCTCGCCGCTGAGGCTGTCTCCAACCTCCGAACCGTCACGGCCTTCTCTTCACAAGAACGCATCCTTAAAATGCTCGAGAAGGAGCAAGAAGGCCCAACCCGACAAGGCATTAAGCAATCGTGGTATGCCGGAATTGGACTGGGCTGCTCCCAAAGCATCACCATTTGTACATGGGCTTTGAACTTTTGGTACGGCAGCAAGTTAATATCCCAAGGCGAAACCACTGCTAAAGGTCTCTTCCAAACCTTCATGGTTTTGGTCAGCATCGGCCGTGTCATCGCCGACGCTGGCAGCATGACGTCAGATCTTGCCAAAGGGTTCGGCGTGGTCAGTTCGGTTTTCGACGTTTTGGACCGGATGACCAAAATCGAACCGGACAACCCAGAAGGATACAAACCGGATAAATTAACCGGCCGAATCGAATTCACGAAAGTGGATTTCGCTTACCCTGCTCGACCGGAGGCGATGATATTCCGTGGGTTTTCAATCAAAATCGAGGCAGGTAAATCCACGGCGTTGGTTGGGCAAAGTGGGTCGGGAAAATCCACCATAATCGGGCTGGTGGAGCGATTCTACGACCCGATTAAAGGAACGATCCAACTCGACGGTCGAGATTTAAAATCGTATCATCTCCGAACGCTAAGAAAACGCATCGCATTAGTGAGCCAAGAGCCGACGCTGTTCGCCGGGACAATTAGGGACAACATCGTGTACGGATATTCAGAAACGGCGGACGAATCGGAGATAATCGAAGCGGCGAAGGCAGCGAACGCACACGATTTCATCTCGGGGTTGAAGGATGGGTACGAGACGTTGTGCGGGGACAGGGGATTGCAGCTGTCGGGAGGGCAAAAACAGAGGATAGCAATAGCGAGAGCGATACTGAAGAATCCGACGGTGCTGCTGCTGGATGAGGCGACGAGTGCGCTTGATGGGCAGTCGGAGAAATTGGTGCAGGAGGCGCTGGAGAGGGTGATGGTGGGGAGGACGAGCGTGGTGGTGGCGCACAGGCTGAGCACCATACAGAATTGCGATATGATTGCGGTTTTGGATAAAGGGAAGGTAGTGGAGACTGGGAATCACTCGTCGCTGATGGGGATTGGCGAAAAGGGAGCTTATTATGCTTTGGTTAATTTGCAGGCTACATCCCATTAGTGTGTGTATCAGTTTCAATCAAATTGGTTGCACTGGAGAATAGCTGGTAGCTCTAGTTTAACCACAGTCTTAGTCTTATCTTTAATCTGTAATTCGGTAAATTAATAAAAATGTCTCTATTTTATCTCAACGGTTCAAACAAGTTGAAAATTGGGCACATTTTAGAATTTCTTTTTAGAATATGAACACATTCAAATCTTCTAACGCACAAACTATGTTAATCAAATGATGATGGGTTTGATGAGCTATTGGAGTCGGCCATTAAAACTTACCAAATCAACTACAATCTCAAGGCTACCGGAGCTCTCGACGCCACGCGTTGGCTCAGATGTCGAAACCTCGATGCAGGGTTGCGGATATCATCGACGGCAAGAGTGGGATGAAATCAGGCAAGAATATGGTGAATCAACAAAGAAAAAGTGGTCGTTTCCATGAAGTTTCTCATTTTACTTTCTTCAAAGTAAACCTTAAATGGCCTAATTCCAAGTCTCACCTCACTTATGGTAAATTTAGTTTTCACATAAAGTTGAGTTATATTTTACATGATCTTCTGTACTAATATCATGATTTATTTAGGATTCCTCGAAAATAAGCTTTGAAAGGGGTGACCTGTTAGACGAACAGGATTCTCCACAATGGTATGATATTGTCCACTTTGAGCATAAGCTCTCATGAATTTGCTTTGGGCTTCCTAAAAGGTCTCATACTAATAGAGTTAGTATTTCTCACACTTATAAACCCATGATCATTCCCTAAATTAGTCGATGTGGGACTTTCATCATCCAACATGACCATAGAGATGGCTCTCCCTTTGACAATGTTGGAGGAGTGATAGCCCATGCTTTGTTACATTTTGACGCGGTCGAGCGTTGGACCGATGGGGCGGTTCCTAATTCGTACGATGTGGAGACGGTGGCGTTGCATGAGATTGGACACCTTCTCAGCCTTCGTCATAGCTCGGTCGAAGGGGCTATTATGTGGCCAACCATCATGAGAGGAGCTACCAAGGGTTTGCATGCCGATGATATTGCAGGCATCAAGGCTTTATACACTGCTACCTCTTGAGTACCAAGGCTTTTAATTTTGACTTCAAACTATCGTTAGTAATTAATCATTATTGTTAATTCATGTTTAATGTAATAATATTACTTTATGGTAATTAATTAATATAACAATATAAATAAAGTAATTCAATTATAATTTTGATCAAATCTGTACAATACACGTCTTATATGAAACATACAACTTTAAATTAATTTTAAGTATTTAAAAGAATATTAATTATAAGTATTTATTATTTGTTTAATATTAAAATGGTTATATTTGACCAAGTCCACATTCCACAATGACTGCTTTGAAATTTATTTAATTTCAGTTTATACAGTTTTTTTTAACGGTTCAAACAAGTTCTACTTTTAGAGTCTCAAATATTGTTTTTTCAAGTCATAAGAAAATATCGACGTCCAAAATTTACCAATTTTTTTTAATTTATTTTTCAAAACCAAACAAAATTACAAAAATACCTCGTAACTTTCGCACTTAATTAAATTATCTATTATCTCTAAGTTTATGAGTAATTTTGAAACGTGTATTTTTTATTTTTTAAAAAAAATTTAAAAGTATTTTTTAAACGCGAAATTAATGGTATATTATATATAAAGAGGTAACTGGATAGAAATTAGTGAAAGTAGGCAATTCTTCCTTTCCAAGCTAAAATAGAAACGTTTATTTACTATTACACCTTCCCATTCTTAAGCCATCGCTTGACTGCAACGCATCACAAATTCTACCTTCGTTTTGACCTATGTCACCTCTCCCAATTCTTGGTTCTTTAAGTACCCCACTCCCTTCCTTCCCAACCCAACCACAGCCCCTTATCTCCATCGCCCATGGCAGTTCTTCAAGCCTTGTCCTTCTTTGCTTCCTCTCTTTTTCTCCTCATTACCCTCTTCCCTTTAATATCATCTTCTCCCCAATACCCTGCGCACTCCCATGGGTTGCTGTTTCTGAACAACCTCAATGGATGTAAGAAAGGCGACACGGTGGAAGGACTCCACCAAATGAAGCGATATCTCTGCCGCTTTGGCTACTTGAGTCATGTTCAAAATCATTCTAAAACTTACGACGATGAGTTCGACGAGCTTTTAGAGTCTGCCATTCGAACTTACCAGCTCAATTACAATCTTGAGGCTACTGGTACTCTCGATGCCTCGACGCTAGCTCTTATGTCGAAACCTCGATGTGGGGTTGCCGATGTTTTCCATGGCAAGACGGGGATGAATTCGGGCAAGAAAATGGTGAATCGACATAGGAAAATCAGTCGTCATTTCCATGGTGTTTCTCACTTTGCTTTCTTTGATGGAAACCCTAAATGGCCAGCTTCAAAATCTCACCTCGCTTATGGTAAGACGAATCTTCTATTTATATGAATTTGAAAATTATATGGTCGTTCGTGATTGTTCAAAGAGGAGTCCACGTCGGTTAATTAAGGGGTTGATCGTGGATTTTATAAATAAAGAATACATCTCGCTCAAAATGGATAATATTATACCATTGTAAAAGGTCGGGATTCCTACTCATTAGAATAATTTATTAAGGAGTTGGAGTATATTTTTACAGGATTCCTCCCGGGAACCCCAATAGAGGCGATAGCTCCGGTGGGTCGAGCTTTTACGACATGGGCTGCAAACACACATTTCACCTTCTCCCAAGCTTCTAGCTACGAAACAGCCGACATCAAAATAAGCTTCGAAAGTGGCGACCATGGAGATGGCGAAGCATTCGACGGCGTTGGAGGGGTCATAGCCCATGCCTTTTCCCCCACAGACGGGCGATTACATTTCGACGCCATTGAGACATGGGCCATCGGCGCCGTTCCCAATTCATTCGACATGGAGACGGTCGCATTGCATGAGATCGGACACCTTCTCGGCCTACATCACAGCTCGGTTGAAGGAGCAATAATGTGGCCAACCATCATGGAAGGAGCAACCAAGGGTTTGCATGCCGACGACATTGCAGGCATTAACGCATTATACACCGCTACTTCTTGAGCAGCTATTGTTTGTTTTACAAGTAACTTAATTCGTTGCTTCTTTTACAAGTAACTTAATTCAAATTATTTTATATGGATATGTGACATTAAATAAAAAGTAATGTGATTTTATATTAGTAAAATAGAATAGAAAAACATAGCAAAAAAAACCAATACAATTAATAAATTCCTCTAATTTTAGTTTCCATATAGAGCACGAATACCATTAATATCATCATCATGCAAGCGAGTCTTCCTGGACCCAAAGTTCATGGTAGGCCACATGACGGCATCTTGAACGTCGGTATGGCCAAGCCCAAGGGCATGCCGAATCTCATGCAATGCCACGGACTCCAAGTCATTCTGCAATATACGAACACCCCAATCCCAAACCTCCTGGGCGTCAAAGTGAACTCTCCCATCAATTGGCCCAAAACAATGGGCCAATGCTCCCCCAAATCCATCGAACGGATGCCCATCTCCATGATCCCTTCTCTCGAAGCTTAAAACTATGTCAGCCGTTTGGCCTCCCACTGCTTGGGAGAATGAAATGGGTGTTGGCTTCCCAGGTCGCAAAAGCCCGCATCACTTGAGGCACATACTTGGATGGGTACTCGTGGATAAATCCGTACGTCAAGTGCCTCTTTTCAGGCGGCCAAATGTGGCGTCCTGGAAAGAAAGCATAATAAGAACCACCCAGCTTCCCACCCGCCATCGTGAAATTATCTGACAACCCACATCGAGGCTTCGCCATTTGATCCAGCGTCTCCTTGTCCAAAGCCCCGCTCACGTTAAGCTTGAAGAATTTCTGGTATGATTTAATGGACGCCTCCAAGGCCTCGTCGAATGCATTTGTTTGAGAATTGGTTTCGTTTTGGGTCAAGTAGTAGCCGTAGCGTTGAAGGTAAGCCTTGACGCCATGGATGCCTTTCCTGTTGTCGCCCCTGTGGCTTCCTTCAAAATATTAGAAGAACACTATTTTTCACAATGGTATGAACAATAACTTTTACTTTGGGATTCTCCAAAACATAATCATTCTAATAACGATAGTATTGGTTGATTATAAACTCATAATCATTCCTTAAATAATCCGTCCAAGTAAATGATTTGATGTAAATTAATACAAATTACCCCACTTGGTAAATTAATATTAAATTATTATAGGTTAATTAAATAATTAAAATAGGTCTGGGGAAAATTTGAACAAATTCAGAAAATGAATATAGAAAAGGAATGGGAATTAAATAAGTTAGAAAGAAAAATAAATAAATTAGGAGATGGAAATCAAGGAAATTAAGAGAGAGGAAACGAAAAGAAAAGAGCAGAAAATAGAGAAGAAAATTAAATTAGAAACGAATAATAAATAAATAGAAGAAAAAATAAAAAAAGGAAAAGAATTGGCTAATTTAATAAAAATATTCCTAAATTAAACTTCTGACAATTTCTAATAATATTTTTTTTAACTTAAAATAAAAACTCTAAAAACTTGTGTATAAGTGAATTACTAAATTAAATCTTTTATTGTGTTTTAACTATAACTTCAATTAATTGAAGGTGTGAATGTTTGATTAATCCGCTCAGAATTTGATTATAAGAATGTGAAAATAGTAATAAATAGAATAACAATAAATGGAAAGATACCTATGATAATAAAGTAAATATTAGATATTTGACTTATAATAAAATATCAAATATAATATATATGGTAAACTATAATTTATTACTAAATATCCATTTTTTTTAAAATATCTATTAAATTTAGTTTACTTTTATTAAAAAAAAAAAATCATCTACATTCCATATATTATCTAAAAAATATTTTTTAAACACATTTCATAAATATATTTTAAACAAGAAGGGAGTGAAATATATTTATAAGTTATAACTTTTACGAAACGCCAGCTGGAATGGTGCAAATCTAGGGGCGGGTGAAATCCGGTAACCGGCCCGACAATTCGGGCTCTCTCCTCAAACCGTCCAACTTAGTCCATAAGCTTTCTGCACTCGTTCTGCTCGTGAATGACCCTCCAGTTCTACACCTGAAGTGGGTTTCGAGTATAAATTCAGTTTGAAATTCGGATTTTTTATCATCATCTTCATCTCTCCTCATCTATACTCGGTTAATCCGAATTCTTGTGGTTTCTAGCCGAAGATGGCCGGTGGCATCTTCAATCGTCTGTTTTACTATCTATTTTTTGTGTATTTGGCATCTTCTTTTGCTGGATTGCAGGTTTTTGTGCGGGGTCGGTTGCTTCTAAGTTCTAAACCCCACCCGGATGATGCTGCGGCCACTGCTCGTTGGTTGGTTTCTCAGAATTCATGGGGAATCTTGAGGTATAATTTGCATCTGATTCAATTTAGTTCGTTCTTTGTTGTTTAATCGAATTGATTCGAGTTGATTGACTGAACCTTAGTTTTTTCGGCTGTAAATTTGCAAGGGACGTTTGGATTTAATGAGGAATTTAGCGTTTTGTTAGATTTGAGTGATTGTTGTTGTTTTTCTATTAGTCGATGTCTTGAAATCTTGTGGAGTGTCTAAATTTGCTCAAAATTTTCTTTGTTTTTGTTTATTTTCTGCAGCACCATCTCAAGTGATTTCGGGGGAGCGCCTTTTGGGTAACCATCTCTTACTCATTTCATATTCTATTAAGCTGTCCTCGATTTTTAGCTGCTTTCTAGGAATTTTATGAATCTTTTACATCTTTCTGAGCTATGGATGTAAGCAAAATTAATATGATCTGATATTAATGGCTTGTTTGGATTGAATTTGTTCTGATATTAATGGCATGTTTGGATTGATTAAAACAGTTTTAAGCAGTTAAAAAGTCAATCCAAACAGGTTTCAATTTGCTCAATCCCCTGTATTTTGAGTGCCTTGATGAGAATAGTTTCAAAACCATTTTTCAACTAAGAAACGATATGATATTGTTCACTTTTAACCTAAGCTCATTTCATTTTACTTCATGCACCTCTCCAATACGACGTTGATTCATTTTCATGTCATGTTTCTTTGTGATTTTAACATTGCATAGATTAGTTGCTGGTTGCTTTAATGAGTAAGAAGCAAACAATCTTCTACAATCATCCTGTTACATGTCTTCAGCTTTACATCTAGAATTCTGAACATCCTTGTTGTGCTACATCTTTCTATTGTTTCGCGCCGATTATCTCGTCCTCCTGCATTCCGAACTAATCACTGACCTCTGATATCTGTGTGCTGACTCATTCGAAGCACTTATCTGTTGATTACAATGGGGCTAAACTTAAGAAAGGTATTTAGCAGTAGGAAAGAAGAATATACAAAGATTAAGCGAATATTTGCTCCTGCAGGAATGTGGTTTCGTTTAGTGATGGGCCACCGGGCAAAGGTCGAGGCACGCCATATTTCTACTTAACAACTCTTGACCCAACTGCAAGATATGCAATCTCAGATGAGAGGGCTTCATTTACGCTAAGTGAGTACCCTATTGGCACTTGTGGCAAGATAGATCCCGAAAACCCGACTTGCGCGAAGATTACGTTGATCGGGAAGGTAAAATTCTTGGTTTCACATTCACATTCTCCAACTTTATCTTCTGTCCATCTTGAATTACTTAAATCACTGTTTGGCCTACAGCTGAGGCAGGTGGATCCTAATTCCAAAGAAGTAGAGTTTGCTAAAACTTCCTTGTTCTCAAAGCATGCAGAGATGAAGAGTAAGTAAACTCAAGCCATAATTTCCTTCCTTGTTCATCAACATTGCATTTATTTTTCTTGTCTATGTTCATGACAGAGTGGCCTAAGGATCACGACTTTCGGTTCTACAAATTAGTAATAGAGAACATATTCTTGATCGATTGGTTCGGTGGGCCGAAGCCACTTACAGTCGATCAATATCTACATTTCAAATTGTGAGTATCAATATCAAAACACCAGGATTGTCAATCCTAAACCCAGTTAAATAAACTTCAGTTTCTGCTTAATCAGAAGAATTCTGTTCAAGTCTGCTGATGTTTTTCATTCTTACTTCAGGGATGAGCTCACATCCATGAAATGAATTTGTTGTACACTCTGATCTTCCCTGCTCATATCAGCTTCCTGGGTTTAAACTGTAAAAAGTTTATATAGATTCATTGTTTATGGGAAGAATAAAGTTTCGTTCATTTGTTGTCCACATTCCAGAGTTGCTGATGGGTCTTCAATTATGTATTATTTATAAATAAATTTGATAAATGTGTTATGATATTAACGCATTTCTTTAATTAATTACTCATGCTACCCACTTTGTGCGAGTTCCTATATTAGGGGATAGGAGAACCAAACATTTTTTTTAAGGGCGTGGAAATCTCTCTCTAGTAGACATGTTTTAAAAATCATGAGACCGATGACGATACATAACAAACCTAAATGGACAATATCTACTGGTGGTGAGCTTGAGCTGTTACAAATGGTATCAGAGCTAGATATCGAGCAATGTATGAGTGAGGATGCAGGCTCCCAAGGAGTAGATTGTGAGGTTCTATGTCGAGTAGACAGGAGAATAAAGCATTCGGTGGGCTTGGACTGTTATAAAATAGTATCAGAGCTAGACACCGAGCAATGTGTGAGAGAGGATGCGGGCTCCCAAGAGGGTGGATTGTGAGGTCTCACGTCGAGTAGACAAGAGAACAAAGCATTCCTTTTAAAGGTGTGAAAACTTTTCTCTAATAGATTTGTTTTAGAAATTGTTATGCTGATTATATATAACCGCAAAAACAAACAATATTGCTATCGATAATTAATCTATTAATAAAGGTTAATAAGGAAAAAGGATAATTATAAATTGTAAGTGGGCCGATGATGATAAGGATGGGTTTATCATGAATCTGAGCTGGGCCCATGGCCTTGAATCATCTCAAATCCCAACCGAGTGGTTCCTAGAGATCGCTTGCTGATATTTGCGATGAGTGGAGGGAACCAGGCAATGGCATCCCCCAGAAAATTCACTTCTATCGATCGTTTACATCTCTGTAAATCAATTTCCATTACAACCCGTTCCAATATTATTTTACAGAAAAAACTATATACAAATCCAGAGATTCTTCTTCTTCCTCCGATTCTACAGATTTTTTCTCTTCCTCGTTTTTCGCGGCTTTGTCCTCATGATTCCACAAGCTTCCTCGTTCAATATCGCCGTTCCACTCTCCGGTTCCCCCCTCGGGCACTCCCGTCACCGACATGTCGTGCGAGCTCAAGGTAAACTTTACCCGACTTTGGAACTGATTGTAAATCTTGTTTTTTTTGATGTATGGAAGTGATGTGTTCAAATCTCGAGATTCTAGAGCCAATTTGTGCTTGCTGCGTCGGCCGCTGTTGATTTATGAAGAGGTCGAACTAGGAAGTTTTTTGTTCTTGTTCTTGTCGAGCACTGTAAGATAATGCGGATGGAATTTCTTTCTTGTTATTTCAGCGGAACCGTCCGAGAAGTCGGTCGAAATAATGAGGAAATTCTCGGAGCAGTATGCTCGTAAATCAGGAACGTATTTCTGTGTGGACAAGGGGGTCACTGCGGTTGTAATCAAGGTTTTTTTCTCAGTTTATCAATATCCAATTGTTTATTTACAGAATTTTCATTTTCTGCCATACTTATGTAGTCATGCGTTTATCTGCTGATGTTTGTAGAAACATCTCAAAATTGATCGCACGTAATGAGTTGTTAAGTTCTCTAGTTGATTGTTCTCAAAATGAACAGAAATTTATTATTTGGTGAAGCAGTTGAAGGAAAGAAACTTCGATACGATTGTGCTCTCAGGTGGACGGACGTTAACTTGATTAAAATTTGTTTGCCTATAGTCTTTTACAAATCTTTCTTGATATTGCTGATAAAGTTTGTAGCGGTAGATTTTAGTTTGATTATGGCAAGTTGATTACTGGCTTGTCTTGATGGATCTTTGTATTAATTCTCCTTCTGTTCATGGGTACACGTGAGGTATTGCTCATGAATTTGGTTGAATAGTTGTCTCATCATGAAATGAAATTGTTGGGTGTTACCTTGGACTCATCATGAAATGAAATTGTTGGGTGTTACCTTGGAATTGTGAATTTCTTTTATTCTGTTATCTCTTTAGCCCTGCCTTGTATTAATTGATTGATTGAATGTCGTTGATTTGTAATTAGTGTTAGAGAAGCTCATGTTAGATCTAAACAGGGACTAGCAGATCACAAAGATACATTGGGTGCACCACTTTGTCCTTGCCGGTTAGTGTTTCTCGTGCTTTTTGTAGAAATCCCGTATTCTTTTCTAGAACTAATGGTAGTTCATACTATCTTTAATGTAAATTCAAATAGCTTGATTTTTTTTCAGGCATTATGATGACAAACCTGCTGAAGTTGCACAAGGTTTTTGGAACTGTCCATGTGTTCCAATGAGAGAGAGGTATAATATGCATTTATAATTAAGGACTGATGTGCAAAAAAGTTGAAGGATAGCATAGGAAAATTTCTTTTTTCCTAGATGGAATTCGTAAAATCATGGACAAGCAGCCTCTCTGCATCATACTCATAAAACTTTGTTGTCACTTGATTTATTGACCAACTCAATGTTCTTCATTAAGATTATTCAGCTTGATAAGTCTTATTCTTATAAGAAGAGAAAGGAAAAGAAGTGTAACAACCCAAGTTCACCGCTAGCAGATATTATCCTTTTTGAGATTTTTCTCAAGGTTTTTAAAACGCGTTTGCTAGGGAGAAGTTTCCACACCCTTCTAAACAATGTTTTGTTCTCCTCCCCAACCGACGTGGGATCTCACAAGAAGAATATGGGCCATCAGCATACAAATTGTAATTAGCTTTTGAGAGATTAGGGCAACACATTTTATTAATTTTTTTTTTTAAGATGATCGGTGACAAGATTTACAGTTCTAGGTTCTTGTACTTGAAAGCAAATACCTAGATTCCAATATGAGGAGTAGGGGTTTACTTTCATGAAGTGACTTAGAATTATCTCCCATGGTAATCTGGTAAATTAAATTAGTACTCCATAGTTACACATAACCAAGCTGTTCACTTTAGCAAGGAGGTTTTAAGGTGGGTTTTATGTTATATATGATTAAGGAAAGATGCTATTCTTCCCAAGAATAATGTGGTTGCGAGCTGACGTTCAAGGCCCTTGGCTATTAAAATGGTTTCAGGAAGCAAGGAAATGTAAACAATAGGTCATTGTTACTCATTTTATTCCATATCAGTTGCATGAGGTCTGAAAATTAAAGTTTTTCTTGGCAGGAAAGAGTGTCACTGCATGCTTTTCCTGACTCCAGAGAACGACTTTGCGGGCACTGATCAGGTAATTCTTATCAATTAATCTTGATCTGATAGGCTGACCTTGCTACTTATAATGTTTGGAATCAATCTCAATGGAATGACTGCTTACTGAAAGTACGATTTAAATTATCAAACGGTGCGTGGTTTATTACTTGACATTATCACCATTACAGAATTCAAATATTTTTTAAGTTTCATCCTTTCGACCTTAACTAGTTCGTTCTACTCCTTGGAACGCATTTAAATGTGAAGTTGGCATAGATCACAAATTCTTTTAGCGCTGAAACTCGAATGTTAAGCATGCTTTGTGGTCGTTGGATTTGCTAATCATCCACAGTAACTGTTATCAATAATTATTTTCTGCTCTCCCTGGATTTCTTTTCACTCCTCTTTTCTGCAGGCAATCTCCTTGGAAGATATCAGGGCTACAACAGCAAACATGTAACCCTTAATTTCATCTAGTTGTGTTCATTAGTAATTCATATTGGGGTTTGACTTGAACGGGTGGAAATATACAAGTATAGTTATGTATGTAATAACAGTAACCTTATATGCTGATGAGACAATGAATGGTTCTGCCATATCTGCTTCTGACAAATTATTAGACACTAAATCCCCCTTTTGTTACAGTTTTTCATGGTATTTGTAACGTGTAAGTTGTGATGATTGTAGAATACTTGGTATAATGCAAAAAGAAAGCATGCAGTTTTGAGGGATCACGACTTTCTAGGGTATTGATACTATCTTTCTTAGAATCTAAGAACACGCAGGTGCCTCAACTCAACTAGGAAAGATATTCTTTTTTCCCACTTTCTAAAAGGATGAATATTCAGTTCGTGGGGCTGCAGCTACACTCGGTCGAGAATCTTTTATAATGTTATGTTTTCTTAAGTTTTCTTCCAACTCAAGTTGCAACAACAAAGGGGTAATATGTATGGAGCAATCTGGCAAAGATAAGACAGTTCGGTAGCAATGTAGATCTAAAATTGAACATGAGAAGTAAAAATCTCTCAGCTGATGTCATATTCTTTATAAAAATATTATAGGTTTAGATTTTTACGCGTCGTTAAATTCAAAAAAAAATTATATGATTTTGGAGTCACCCGTGTTGGTGTAAACAAAATAAATTATTTTGTGATTTAAGAATAATTATTTTGTAATTGAAAATTTGTCAAAATTTAAATATTAAAAGTTGATCGGTTTGAATGAAAAAGCTTATCTAATTTGAATTTGCAAATTTATGAACGAGCAATTATGAAAAAACTACCCTTTTATTATTAATATTATTTTAATTTTCGAATTTACAAAACAGTAAAATAACCATAAAGACAAATGTAAATTAAAGTCAGTTTTAGGTTTTAGTTAACTAAATTTATACCTTTAATCGGTGGTGTATTCGTGTAGGTAACCTGATTGCAGGCGGGCAGCCCTGAGTGGTGGCCGTACGATGCCTCTCACGTCATCTTCTTCTTTATTTCTTTCCCAATTCCTTACAGTTTGATTATTATTGTTCATTAACTCTAGGGTTTCATTCCATTTTGTGTTACCTACATAGGTCGAGGCTTCAATTGTTTCACAGGTTTCGTTCCTGGAGATGTCGAGGCCCCAAGTCACCATCACTCTGGGGCGCTCTGGTCAGGTAATCCAATCAATATGCACCTACTGAAGAGTTCATTTAGTTTGTTTCTTAGTGTCTGGTTTGCGTTATTTAAGAAATTAAAAAGAGCTGAGACTTTTCGATTTCGATATTTTTACGATAATCATGTTATCGACGATTGTTGAACGCTGCGTTGTTATTTTATATTATTTTTGGTATGAATGAATCATTTGCAGATGGTAAAGAGAGGAGGTTCTGACTTCGCTCAATCGAATATTGATTCTGGACCAGTGCCAAGAAGAAAACGATATATTGAGAGATCAGCAGATAATGCAGAGGATTTGTTCTCATCCACGAATAAGCGGTTTGTTTTTTTTTTCTCTCTTTCTTTATTGATTGTTAGCAGCATTGAAATCCAGGCGTTTTTTCTTTTCTTTTCTTCCCACCCCAATTTCTCCGGCTTGTTTGTATTGTTCGAGTTAAACTTCTTCGTTCTCTGTGCTCTTATCGAGTATCGAGTTGGTTCTTCTTATACTTCTGGGCGTACTTCAATTTGAATGAGGACTTACTGATTTTTCATTCTGTATAAATCTGGTCATTTTTACTGTAATTTTGAGATAGTTTTTAGAATACGTATTCTGAATTTTGCATGCCTTTGTTGGGTATTCTCTTAGCAGGCAACGTGGAGATGGTTTTGATTGGAGTTCAAGTGGTCAAAGAAAAAACGGTACAAGACTGTTCTCTACTTGTATTATTGTTTTTTTTTTTTTTTTATATGTATTGGTTTTCTGTGATCTCGTGGTTACTTCAGTTCTTATTCGAATAAAGTCTACAGAGTTGGTCAAAATGATCTGCGCTTGAAACTTATGCGCAAAAATCAATCCAAGAAAATTGGTCTTGGCGAAGAACACTCAAGGGTGGAAATACACCATCAATTATCAAAAAATTATCTGCCCTCAACTAGTGGAGATGTAATACATCGTAGGCATGAATTTAGAGGGAGTAATCTTATAAGGCAAACACATTACCGAAAAAGTGCCGATGATCTATACCTAGAACATTCACAAAGGAAAAGTACTGTATCATATGTTGACAGGATGAGAGTTAGATCCCCAGATGGGATCATGAAGAGCTCCATGGGACTTTCACCTCCTAGATACAATGATGAGTTTAGGAGGATCTCATCTATGAGGGAAGCTGATCGTTCTAGAGATGAATGGTTTTTTAGGAACAGCGTTGCTGATAGTTATAGGTCTGTAGACTCTGCACCTGCGAAAATGAAAGCCACCCTCCCTGTGTCTGGCAAGGCAGTTAAGGATCTCACAGCAATAAGTGGCAGCATGCAGAGAAGTTCCGCAATGGTATGCTTTTTGGCTGTTCAGTTTATCGGTCTAATTTAGTGTGCCAATTCAGTTATTAAATTTTACAATCTTATAAATTAGCTCATCTTAGACATCAAGTTGCGCCTTTTCTTGCTAAGTCTCGTTAATGATTGTTATATAGGGAGAGGGTACTCTTTCTGTTGCTGGCTTGTTGAATTCGCTTGGTTTGGGGAAATATGTCATTCATTTTCAGGCAGAAGAAGTAAGTTATCTCAGCTTGTGCATTATTTTTCAGCATTTTTTAAGGGTGCTGAATGTATGTACTTTCCTGAAAATTAAAACCCATTTTAAGATGTAAATTCTTTAGGATACAACCATTGGGCGTCTTTTTTGTTTTTTTTTTCTTTTCATGTGAATGTTATATATGAAGTTCCTTGGGGCTTTGTTGAGGTGTGATGACGATTGCCTATAGACTCCTCAATCTTGTATATAAACCTAGGTTCTTTTTGTAAATTATATCTTGCAGATTGATATGACAGCTTTGAGACAGATGGGAGACAGGGATCTTAAAGAGTTGGGGATACCCATGGTAGTTCCGTTTCCCTGGCCTTCTACGATTGTTCAACTCTAATTGAAATACATTCTTGGCTTGCAGACTTACGTTCACTCCTGTATGGTGTACTTGTCTAATTAGAATTTTGATGAACCATGCTAGTTTAGAAAAAAGTGTCATTCCATCAAGTTCAAGTTGACAAAGGTTTGGGCTGCGAGTGAGTGACCTTAGGATTGAATCAAAATGTCCTGGATTGGAATATTGATTGTTCCACGAGCTTCTTAAGTGTGATAATTTGTAGGGTCTTACCTAGGTCGCTAGATTCATACACATAGGAGTTATGAGTTATATATATGTTCTTCACCTGTGGCATTCATCATTCATCGAATTATTAGTATTGCTAAAGAAGAATGTATCTTACGGCATGTGTTATATGCAATATCAAATCATTTGATAGAAAGTACTGTATACGTAGTAGTTGCCACTTTGCTAACCATTCTATTGAATGATTTTACTTGGAACTTCAATATCATGCAAACTACTTGTATCCATTTTGGGTGAAGAACTTTGCAAGGCGGCTAAGTTTAACCCCTCTTGGCATCGGTCACTAGGCCTTTTGCAATTATGAGTTTGGTTTTTTTCATTTAGATAAGAGTTATTATCTTTATTTCGGTCTGACTCCTTTCTTTGGGCTAGTCTTTCTTTTTTTTTTTTTTTTTTTGTACACCTGGTTTATTATTTCATTCTCTCCATGAAAACGTAGTTTCTTATTAAAGAAAGTTCGTCGTATCCATCGAAGACTTATTTTGAGCCCTGCCCTGTGATTCNTTTTTTTTTTTTTTTTTTTTTTTTTGTACACCTGGTTTATTATTTCATTCTCTCCATGAAAACGTAGTTTCTTATTAAAGAAAGTTCGTCGTATCCATCGAAGACTTATTTTGAGCCCTGCCCTGTGATTCTTAATTAACAGGGACCAAGGAAAAAGATTCTGCTCGCCATGTTGCCCTGTTCTAAGCAGCCGCCGCCACCACTCTCAATGACACGATCATAGGGTTTTGCTGCTCTAATGTCTGTCTTCCAAAATGTGTACGAATGTATTGAACTGAATTACTAAATTTGGTTTTATGCTCAGTAACTTATTCCGTTTTTAAGTAGCCCTTCTTCGGATGTTTTATGCGTATGTATAAACAATTTGAGGATAAATTAAGTAGTGAAATCAATTGTGTATAGAGCATAGACCTCTCTGCCTTACCAAAGCTGTGCTTAGCATACATGGATAAAACTTTGAACCATTTACTAATTGAGAATGGAGTCGACGGATACCCAATTCATTCGGGTAAACATGTGTTAGATCTCATTAGATGAGAATTTCATGAACACAAATGGATGATAAATATTACATTGAACCTCATCACTCCATGATTAACATCGATAAGCTTGAACCTTGAGCTTAGACTTCATGTGTTTTGTGCGTTCTCTTACATTCCAGGAAGCAGAACAGGCTACGAAGATGATCATCACTACGCTCCTGATTCTATGCATGCTACTTTAGCATTTTGGAAGAAGGGAATTGTGTCTGTCTCACCATCAGACTGGCAAGTCAAAAAGGTACTTCGTATATCTTTGCTTGTTAGCATCAAAGGCCTACTATCCATGCGTTATCCACATCTGAATAGGAGGAGATCAAGAAGATCAACGAGTTGATGCTTCTACTCTCATCTGGAGAAAGCAGAGGAGGAGGTTTCTGAAACAAAGCAACGTGGGTAGCTGGTGAAGGTCTACTTCTCTCCCACTCTCTCTTAATGTGAACTTGATTTGTATTTATTCTTTGAAAATCTCCAAAAAAGTAATGTTGGACCTTAATGGAATTAGAGAATCAGATTCCTCGACATCAATGATAGAGACCTCTGAGAAAGTCTGTCAATTTCTTTTAAATTGTTTACTTTTACACTTTCCACCCATGCCTTCCATGAAAATCTTTATTGTGAATAAAGCCAAATTTGTTTTGTATTATTTATTTCTTAGGGAGAAGAGAGAAGCGTGTGGACTATTGTCTTTGGCTTTCAGCAGAACGAGAAGCTAACAGTTAAAAAGGTACTAACCTTTACCCATTAATTTAATCTTGCATCATAGTGAAAGTTGAATTTATGGTTAATTGCCCTCTCATGGCTTAAGATCGGTTTTGTTGATGCCGGATTTAGTGGAGAAATATGTTGGTTTGAAATTTTATTTCAACTTTATGGTTCTTTACAAGACGAATTTGTTCATTCATTTTAGATATTAGTTAAAATCATCTTTTTCCAAAAAGAAAGAAAAAGACTGTGTTTGACTTTTTTTGTTTTTTGAGAGAGACTATTTGACTTTAGTTGATGTGATCGCTTTGGGGTATGTATGTTTTGTGTTAGCTTAGAGGGCTTATTAGCACACACACACCCATAAAATTCAAACAAGTTTGCCAATTGTTATTTATTTATTTAAAAAGTATGCAAAGATTTGTAATCGAATCCCTTCCATGAATAATAATAATGTAGGTTAATACAATAATAGTTCTTAACTTGGCAAACAGCCAAAGAAAAAGTAATTTGCCACTTTGTAAAGCACAAAAGAATGTCTTTTCTAAAGTTGATAGCATAATTGAGATCTGGAAAATTAAATTAGGGTTAGGAAGGGGGAAGTGTTTAGAGTAGTGTGGGCAATGTTTGAATCGACTGTCACCTACTTTTCAATCATTTTCTTAATATCATAGTTTTGTATGAGTTTTGATTTTGTTTCCAATTAATTTTCATTACCTAGATTGTTCCTAGGAGAGATGAAAAGGCTTCTAAGCTTATTATTATTATTTAGATGAGAATTGAAAATTGAAAATGCATTATATTATAAAGGGAGTTAATTGCAAAAAAGAAAGAAAAGAAATAGCTTTGGATGATTATTACTAATTTGGCCTTGGTTGAAACCCCAAAGGAAGGAACGGGAAGAAGAAGAAAAAGAAGAAACAGGGGTGGAGTTGGAATCGAAACCACTTTTGGAAAAAGAAAGGGAGAGATTGTGGAGGGTAGACCTCACATTTGATATCAACTCACTCACACCCAATTGCTTGCTTCACTCTCTTAACAATTAAGGATCCAATAATTGAATAATAAGATAATAAAGAACAGAAAGGAAGGAGAAATGGAGAATATTAATAAGCTTTTCCACTTTTGAGCATTAAAGTTTGGCGAATTAGAAAAACATTAATTAAAGCCTTTACATCTGTTTCCATGCAAAAGAGTCTCATTTATAAATTTTTAACCCAAACATTTTCTCTATTCCAAAAATATATATAGATATAGATATAGATATATAATATGTTTACCAAATTCTCTTCTTTTTCTTTTACATTGTGTGTGTGCAAAATCAAAGAAAAAATGCATTGGGTACGAGTTGGGTGTGATTTTCTCTCCATCCACTCGCTCATTTTTTTGTTCATCTAAATTTTGGTTCATGAACACTTAGTTTTGTATCTATTAATTGTTTGGTAAAATTATATTCTATCCATGCTCAAAATCATAAAATTTCATTTGTTCTATTATGAATGTTGAAAAATATATTAAAGAGAGCAATGATATTATGAAAATCTAAATTAAATTTATAGTTCAAGCTTATCTTTAGTAAATATTGTTAATCTTTAAACTTAATATTTAAATCTAAACTAAGAATTTTGATCGGTGGGGGTCTCTAATCAATCGTTGTACAATTGCACACTTTTTTACTAGGGTGTTTGGAAAAAGGGCAAATTTGTCATTTCAAAGCATAAATATGAAGTTTTTTTTTTTTCCTTTTGTAAGTTTAACCAATAATGACCCATGTTAGACCCAGAAGAGAGTGATTGACTAAAGAAAAAAAATCAAATTTTTGAACAAAATTGGAGCAATCAAATATTTTGTAAGATAATTCCACAAAAGAGAATCATATGGTTGAAATTATTCATAAAATGATGTGAACATAAAACGATAAACAAAAATCGGTCTTAAAAGCGAGGTTCTTCCATGGCAGACTGTTGAAGCAATTAGCCAATGAGAGAGGGGGACTGCCATTTTTTGATTGGGACACAGGAAGATAATCAAAAGAATTAGCATATTCTATTTTATCCCAAAACACTCAGATTTTCTTCTTCACTTGGGGATTTGCTTACCTTTACTCTTTCTCGATTCTGCTCATATTCTGAAACCACAAATTCTCTCTCTTCTCTCTCTCTCTCTCTCTCTCTCTCTCTCCTGTTCATACCTCCGCGGACTTGGTCCACTGGACACCGGATTTTCACCAGCATTCTCAGCCGCTGTTCCGTTATCTGACTTCGTTTCACTGCACAAATCATGGAGCTTCAGGAACATTTCCTTGAGTCCTTTGATTGACGAGCATAGAAACTACCTTCTTTGTATTGTTATAAGGGGTTTCTTCCTTTTTCAGAGATTGAAATCTGAATCTCACAATCCAAAAATGGAATTTCAGGAGGGTTTGATGAAGTTCATGATCCATAGACACATCAAACACAACTGGGTTTTGGAGAAGAATTCTCCACCGGTTGCAGTTTCAGAGATAACCAGTAGTCCTAGACGGAAATGGCGGATCTTCAATCGGTCTTCTTCTTCCCCATTTCCTTCGAAACCTCCCCAATCGAAGGAAATACCTAAAGAATTGCTCTGTCCCATTTCTGGGTCTTTAATGGCGGATCCTGTAATTGTCTCCTCTGGTCACACTTTCGAAGCCGCCTGTGTTCAGGTTTGTAAAGATTTAGGGTTGAAGCCGACTCTGTTAGATGGTTCCAACCCGGATTTCTCCTCTGTTATCCCAAATCTGGCTCTCAAATCCACTATTCTCAATTGGTGCAAGAATTCCTCTTCTGAATCCCCCAAACCCCTCGATTTCTCCTCCGCTGAAAAGCTCGTTCGTCAATTCATGGCGGCCCACACCAAAAGCGATGAGGAATTGATTCAAGGGATTGCAGAGAATCCTGTGGTTCGATTCAACCACGCCGCCACCGAAGTCACTCGTCGGACCTCTCATTTCCACTCGAGCTCCGATGAATCTGTAGGTGCCGCCGTTCCAACTCTGCCCCTTCCTCTCGCGACAAGGCCGAGTTGTTGTTCTTCATCTTCTTCCTCTGACATCGAGGTAATCAGTGATCTGAACTTGCCCGAGGAAGAAGAGATTATCGCGAAGCTGAAAAGCTCTCAGGTTATTGAGATTGAAGAGGCTGTGACTGCGCTGAGAAAAATCACTAGAACTCGAGAGGATTCCAGGGTTCATCTTTGTTCTCCTCTGATTCTCTCTGCTCTGCGATCTCTCATCGTCTCGAGGTACACTGGCGTTCAGGTGAATTCAGTTGCAGCGCTTGTAAATCTGTCTTTAGAGAATTTGAACAAGGTCAAGATTGTAAGGTCGGGGATTCTCCCCAATTTGATCGATGTTCTGAAAGGGGGTTCACCGGAGGTTCAAGAACATGCCGCCGGCGCCATTTTCAGCTTAGCTCTCGAAGACGACAACAAGACCGCGATCGGCGTTTTGGGTGCTCTGCCGCCATTGATACGGCTATTGGTATCAGATTCAGAGCAGACTCGGCACGACTCGGCTCTTGCTCTTTATCACTTATCGCACGTTCAGAGCAACCGTTCGAAGCTTGTGAAACTTGGGTCGGTGCCGGTCTTTCTCGGGATGGTGAAATCCGGCCATATGGCCGGCCGTATTTTACTGATATTGTGTAATTTAGCTGCTTGTTTCGAGGGCCGGGCGGCGTTGTTGGACTCCGGTGCAGTGGAGTGCTTGGTGGGGATGATGAGGGAGAACGAGCTGGACACTGAGTCGACTCGGGAGAGTTGTGTGGCTGTCCTGTTCGGACTGAGTTACGGCGGTTTGAGGTTTAAGGGTCTGGCAAAAACCGCCGGAGCAATGGAGGTGTTCATGGCGGTAGAGAAAAATGGAAGCGAGAGATCAAAAGAAAAGGTGAAGAGAATCATGGAGTATATGAAAGCCAGAGATGAGGAAGCTGAGGATGTGAATTGGGAGGAACTGCTGGACTCGGGTTGTTTTGGCAGCCGGACTCGGTGTCGAATCGGTGCCGGAATGGACATATCCACCGCGAACTCGTCGGAGTTCTGAACAGAAATCGTTTGAATTTGTAAACTTTTTTTTCCCTTTTTGATTTGGGTTGTGAATATTATGGAACGAACCCCTTTTGATTTGATTTGATTTGATTTAAAACTCTCTGTTTTTCCACTTCTTCCTCTTCATCCTCTGTTTCTTTTCTTCCTTTTTCCGGTGAAGATGCCGAAATAAAAGCCTTCTAAAGAAGCAACCTCAAATTTTGTATGGTGAAATTTGTGTATTTGTGTAGTGTGAAAGTTCATTACAATCTTCAAAACAGAGGAATTCGTTTCTTCCCTTTGATTTCAATGATCATGTCACAGGGGTCGCATCTGCATCTAATCGCTATCACTTTGACGCCATGGCCATTGTTCTGTTCTTGGATCTCAAAGGCTTAATATATTTTTACAAATTTTTAATAAAAGCTCCATTGAAAATTAAAATTTTAAAATCATTCTTAGTACTTTTATTTCACATATATAGATGAAAATTATGTTCAAACCTTTTAATGTGAGTATTTTTAAAAAATATATATTAATGAAACTTTTATAAACTTTTTTTTTTTTTTTAAATATTTAAGTATATTTTTTAAAACATTTAAGATGTTATGGAATTTTTTTATTTTTATTTTTATTTTTTTAAATTCAGATAGTCATTTTTATTAATTTAAAAATCTTCAGCCTCACCCCAAACCCTAACTATTGTTCAGCCCCTCAAACCCTAATTATTCTTCAGCCGCTGCACCCTGCCCCAAACCCTATTTATTCTTCAGCCACCCCTTGCTAATATTTCTTTTTCAGCCACTGCTCCTTGCACTGCCGCTCCCCACCGCTCGTCGCTATCCGCTTTCTCCCGCCGAATCGACGCCGCTCTCTTTCACATTCGCTTCTCCCACGCCGCCGTTGATATAGCGCTGCCGCCGCGCGTTTTTCAGATCAGGTTTTGACTTTTTTTTTTTTCTTCTGTCGTTGGTTTACGTTGGTTTCTTCAATCAGTCTATCTAAATGTAAACATAAATATTACGTGCAACTTGATTGGCGATTAAAAAGAATCGAAAAGCTACTTTAAAAGATTTAAATTATCGCTCTAAGTTTTAAAAGAACAGAAAAATCCGTGTTAAAAATTATTTAACTAAACTTGAGTTTGTGTTTGATTGAATTGAGTTTAGTGGGAGGCTTTTGATAAATTGGTGTAGGTGTATATCTAAAACACAAAACTCTGTCAAATTAGAAATAATTTTTTATTTTAAAATTCTGCGTAATTCGACTTACTTGGAACGGAAATTTTCTGAAAGAAAACTTACTTGCCTCCCCATCCCAATTCATCGTTCTTCTTACTGATTGGTATTCACTGCTATTCTGTAGTAAAGTATTTATAATTAAAGATGACGAAGAAGACAGAAAGGAAGGTAAGTGTGTCTGGGAAACCAAAACATTCCCTGGACGCCAACAGAAGTGATGGGAATAAGAATGCGCGTAGCGCTGCCACTGTGCGACGTCTCAAGATGTATAATACAAGGCCAAAGCGTGATCGGAAAGGGAAGGTGTTGAAGCATGAGCTTCAATCAAAGGAGTTACCGGACACACGGATTCAACCTGATCGCCGCTGGTTTGGTACGTTTCTTTGGGTTATGTGTGCATGTGTCATTTCTTTTTCGTTGGGTTAGGGGCTGTTACTGTGGCCACATTCAATCATTTTTCCAGTTGATGCCGTGCCTACATTTCTGTCCTTGTTCATTATTTTACGAACTTGTATTATTAATGCTATCGTGCAGTATGTTGATAAGATTTTGATGAGGTATATTAACTTGAATTGATAGGTAATACTCGAGTTGTAAACCAGAAAGAGCTTGAATTTTTTCGTGAAGAACTCCAAAAACGGATGTCAAGTAGCTACAATGTGATTTTGAAGGAAAAGAAACTGCCCCTTTCCCTCTTGAATGATCATCAGAAGGTAGAGACCTGTTTTTTGTAATTCGTTGATTTGATGTGTTTGTATATGAATTTTCTGTTTTAAATAAGGTTTATATATAGAGCTTCGATGTACTCTGTTGTCAATGTTATTAGCTGCTGTTTTGCATGTTGTTTTGCTCAAGATTTAGACGAAGAAAGCTTATCCACTTTCCGTCAGAGCGTTTTTTTGTTGCTATCTCTCACTTTCCCATCTGGAGCTCACTGATTTGTATAAATGAAGCTTTGAATGTTCTATGACATGCTTGCGTATTCTAAGATAATCATTCATTGTGGTTCTGTAGTAAACTAATTCATTGTGGTTCTGTAGTAAACTAAGGACAAAAGTTTCAAAACTTTTATATGCTAATGTGGTACTTTTATCTCTGAAGCAATCCAGAGTCCATCTTCTCGATACAGAACCATTTCAAGATGCCTTTGGGCCAAAGGGGAAGAGAAAGCGACCAAAGCTTTTGGCTGCTGACTATGAGTCACTACTTAAGAAAGCTGACAAGTCTCATGGTATGAAATATTTGAATCTGTCTCTTCCATTTGCGAATTTTAATAAACAAGTATCAATAACTGTGGTATTCCTTTCAAGTGTTTGTTTATTTTGAACGTTTGTACCTTGCACCTTGTGAAAGAAAAGAAAAGAAAACGGATGCTATTCTTTTTATGTGACTTGATATATCTGAAGATGCTGTTCTCAAGCAACGTTTTTCTTTTCTTATTGGAATTTTGCTGTTGTCACTTCTTATGTTAAGAGTGCTGTTTATGATATTGCATATTCTTTATTCTGTAGATGACTTTGATGAAAAGTATGCTGAGAATGCCACAAATGAGGGTAGCGAAGAAGATGGTTTTAGAGACCTTGTTCGACATACTATGTTTGAGAAGGGTCAAAGTAAACGTATATGGGGCGAGCTCTACAAAGTAATCGACTCATCAGATGTTGTTGTCCAGGTTCGTTGTAGTAATTAATCTCTTCCTTTGTTGATGATAGTATTCACATGTGATTTTCTTTTCTTATTTATATTTTTCCCCATTAGTTTATGAAATGTAAAAGCTAGTATCTTCCCAAATGTTATATACCTTATTTCTATTTTATTTAGGAAAAAAGTTCTCTTCAAATAATTTGCACAGCTGCCATTATTACATTTTATGTTTTGGATTTTTTTATGGTTTTCCATTTCAAAACTGTGGTTTTGGTTTCCCACAACTCAATACAAGCTTCCATCATTTCTTGTATATATCCATCATCTGAGTATTTGTCATTTTCCCAGGTTCTAGATGCAAGAGATCCCCAAGGAACAAGATGTTACCATTTAGAGAGACATTTGAAAGAGCACTGCAAACATAAACACGTGGTTCTTTTGTTAAATAAGGTTTCACCTTATCTTTGATTTGAAAGAGCACTGAATTTTTTGATAATTTCTTTAAGGCTGATTGAGACATGTTAATGAATGGTATTCTCAGTGCGATTTGATTCCTGCTTGGGCAACAAAGGGATGGCTTAGAGTTCTATCAAAAGAATATCCCACTTTAGCATTTCATGCAAGCATCAACAAATCCTTTGGAAAGGTATTTTTATTAAATCGAGGACCCCATAGTACTTTTTAATAATTAATTTCTAGCTAAGAGCCTGAATTGGTTGTTTATAGTAAAATGTATGTCATCCCTATGACCCATCTAGTTGCTCAATGACATCTTTTATGATTGGATCATATTGGTCGATGAGGAAAATCCGCAAGGGAATCATTTGATATATTGTCTTTGGCAATATAGGATAAACATCATCTTTAACTTTGTTTCTAAGACTCTTTTTTGTTGCTGTTAGGGTTCTCTCCTGTCGGTACTGAGACAATTTGCGCGCTTAAAAAGTGACAAGCAAGCTATCTCCGTGGGATTTGTTGGATATCCCAATGTTGGAAAGTCATCTGTAATTAACACTCTACGGACTAAGAATGTAAGGTTTCATTCTTCCTTGATACGAACAATGTTTTGTATAAATGTGAAAAAAAGTGTTGTTTAATTTTTTGTTCATTCATTTGATATGTCTGAATTGGATTCATAATAAAACTGCAGTAATTATTTTGCGTTCAAAAGGGCCTATATGGTTAAAAGCTCTCAGAAAATCATGGCAAAATCTGGATGGTGTAGTTCTTCATGTGCTGAAATTTATGCAACTTTTCTTATCCAGATCATATCTGTTTTTATTGGATCTATGTTAGGTGTAGCATTTCTTCCAGGAATACTATGAGTCATGTGGCTTGCTTTGTAGAATATTATCTCCTGTTAGGTTTTGTATGGTGAATAACACGAGTGATAGACCACCAAATTGATTCGCATGTTTGCCCAATTAGAGACGTACTGAATCTATCTGTAGTGTTGGAGGGAAAACGTCTGGAAATAATCGTTTGAAGTAGAGCTAGTAACAAGTCTGACACCAAGTTCGTTTGTTAAGCCGAATTTCAAGTTGCAGTGCAGCCAATTGTTGACTGAGCTAAAAATAATGGGATAACCTATAGAAGTCACGTGAATATTCGATTGGATATTGGGTGGTGGCAGAATCTGGACTTTTTGCTTGGACTTCCTCTTCATGTGAATGGATATACTTCGAAAAGAATTAGGAAAAAATATTTATTGTCTCACATTTGATTCTTCTGTTGCTTGTTTTAGTGATACTAAAGTGAGTCCCTTACATTTGATTCTTATGGCACTATAATCATTCTCTTGTGGTTCTTTTTTTTAAAATAAATTCACCCTTTTTATTAGGTTTGCAAAGTCGCACCTATTCCAGGGGAAACTAAAGTGTGGCAATATATTACCCTCACAAAGAGGATTTTTCTGATTGATTGCCCAGGAGTCGTTTATCAAAACAGTGACACTGAAACAGATGTTGTGCTGAAGGGCGTGGTATGTTTTTTCTCATTTTCGTTAGCATTGCCATCTGGTTTCTTTTGAAACCCAATTACACTTTGCCAATATGTTGACATTTAAAATTATTCTTTGATAATATGGTATTTGGGACTTTTTGTTAGGTACGAGTTACTAATTTGGAGGATCCATCTGAACATATTGGAGAAGTGTTGAAGCGGGTGAAGAAGGAACACCTTGAAAGAGCATACAAGATCAAAAATTGGTGAGTGACCATACATTTTAATCTTTTTCTTGCATGAGGGTTTGCGGCTGTTATCATTTTATTTATTTTTTCTCGTGGTTTTTTCATTCTCAAATTGTCCTTTTTAGTCAATTTAAAAGATAACCGAAATACCATTTTTGTGAGGATCAAATTGATTTGAACTGTATTATTTTTGGTTGAGAGAACTTTATGCTGCAACTCCTATCATGAAAATCTCTTTATTTTATCATCTGTACTCGTTCATCTATTTCCTAATAGTTTGCTTCAACTGTTAGCGTAGTTCTGTTATTTTATCATCTTTAAATTTGTGCTGAAGAACAATTTTAATTTGTCGTTTCATGTTAAGGGTGGACGACAATGACTTTTTAGTTCAGCTATGCAAATTGTCAGGCAAGCTCCTAAGGGTATGTTGTTAATTTTGGAAGTGGTTGTTATTATTTATCTATTTTGTTCAACTTGTTTTGTTATCATTTTCATGAAAATCTAACTGCTTCAAGGGGCGTCTATCCAGGGTGGCGAGCCTGACTTGACAACTGTAGCCAAGATGGTCCTCCACGACTGGCAGAGGGGTAAACTTCCGTTCTTTGTGCCACCACCTCGAGTAGAAGATAAGTCTGAAGAAGAACCCAACTATAGTGTTGATGATGACTCGGGTGTTGATAGCAATCAAGCTGCAGCCGCTTTCAAAGCCATTGCAAATGTGATATCATCTCAGCAGCAAAGAAGTGTGCCTGTTCAAAGGGATCTGTTCAGTGATAATGAATTGAATGGCGAGTCATGCGACGACCAGATTCTCGTCTCTGAGGATGAGTTACAGGCTCCTTCAGACACTGAGGGAAGGACATCTGAAGGCCAGGATGATGTGGTAGAAGACGTGCGTCCAACTGCAGGCTGAGATCATGTGGTGATATTCTGTCTACTTTATGTATATTCACTGTTGTGTTATCTTTTTGCCAATACTTCTCTCTTACATCCCTATTCTACTTTTGTTTTTTAACAGATTTTCGTTTAGGTCATTAATACCATTTCTATATTTTGCAACACATTAGAGATGATAGGAAGTGCCAAACCATGTTCCCTTTATTGAATGAAATGTCTCATAAAGGTTCTCAACTATAGAAAACCATTGGCCTAAAATCTCTACATTTTTGCAGATGGGACATAAAAATTGGATGGCTTATAATAGAGATAGCAAAGGGGGGGATTTCTTGGCCCCCGAATTAGTTTTGTATTAAATTGTGCAACAATTATTGGAAAATAATAGTGTGACTAGGGAGGGTTCTAAATTATCGAAGTTTCAATAGTCCGAATGAATGGAGGTTTCTATTGAGAACGTTCCTTTGTTTCTGGCAAGTACATAGCAGGCTCGAACTGATGATTTTGTAAGGTGTGGTTTGTAACGTTTTTGTTTGTCGTTTGTAACGTCTACAAACCTCGTCCTGTGCAACGATCATCATTGTTGTTTTGGGTATGATTTTAGAAACCTTGCTTCCAAAATGTTCTTATTGTACTTTGTGAATGCTACGAGACTTGACTTTTTACTGCCTAACTAATACTATCGAATTCCAGAAATCCACTTGGTTTTGGTATATGCTTGGCCTTGCATAATCAATTTATAAGCATTATGGTGAATTTTATAAATCCTCATAAATAAAGTTCAAACCATAATTGAATTTTCTTCATTGTGAAGAAAAGAAATGATTTCAAAACTCGGTGAACTTTAAAGTTCACTCGGTTTCTTCTTTTTTACTTTCACTTTTATAAATAAATAAATATATAAAAATGGTGTAATAAGAAATAGGATATTTGTCTAAAATTTCAATTGAAGAAAGAACAAATGGTAATTATTTAAAAGAATTGAAAATATGAGTGCTACTCGTGTAAAAGATAATAAAGATGTCATAAATATTTGGACATTAAATTGCATTGGGTGAGAGAAGAAAAAGCTAAGAAATGACACGTTTTTAGGTTTTCTTTAATAATCTCCTTTTTGGCAATTATTGTTATTATTATTATCATCCTCATGCCTTACTTTCCATATTTTTGATAAACTACTGAAACCAATATTTTTGATATGTTTAGAGTCTCGTTACTTAGTCAGACTTGGTGAAATAACGGAATCCATAAAAATTATAATAAATTTAACGTATTTTTTTTGTTGTTATTGTTAATTTATAGTCCTTGTCTATTTTTTAAAACGAAAAAAAAAATAAAATAAAAGAATTTTCTGAGTCCATTGAATGGAGCATGTCAATAAAATGTTTTGTCTTTTTTTTCACCGTCAAACAATATTATAATCTAAATTATTCTAACAAATAATTCCAAAACCTAATTGAGATTTTAGTATAATTTTTATATAATTATGTAAACGGAATAGAGCAAGCGTAGGGACAAAATGGGCATGACTTATATGAAAATAAAATAAAATAAATGATATATATTATTTTTAATAATTGGTCAAACCAAAATTTCTTTGCATTTCTAATTTAAATTATGCTTATTATATTAAAAAAGTGAGTAACAAAAATAACATTAAAAAAAGACAATATATTAAATTTAAAGCTTAATATATATTTTAGAAAAAAGAAAAAAAAAGAAAAAAGAAAATAACACCCCACCTACCATATTTTAGAAAAATGTGATCATACAATAAATATTTTATAAAAAGTTCTTTTAGTATTTTAATGTACAATATTCTATTATATCATTAACAAAAAAATGCTGTAGAGCCCCATTAGTTCAAATAATGTTGCTTTAAAATAAATAAATTTCTTTTTTTGTTTTGTTTTTTTTTTTTTTTTTTTTTAATTATTATTATTAAGAATCTCGGGGAGGTAGGTCCAAATTTCAAATCTATAACTCTAGGTCAATAATATACATTTTAACTATTTGAGATACATTAGAATTAAATCAAAGATAAACGACTTCTTTCCTGTTTTCAAAGGTCACCGATCTATGATGTTGCAGTGNAAAAAAAAAAAAAAAAAAAAAAAAGGAGACCGGAGGAGTGCAGCCATTGGAGTACCATTTTAGAGTAAAATTGAAGAAGGAACAAAATTAGCGTATGGAATGGTTGAATGGTTGAAGAATGGACGATGACTGGGTTTGGCCTTTTGGCATGTTCCCCAATCAGCGGAGGCCGGAGGGTATAATCAAAACAAAAGCAACGTTGTCAAATTCAGCGATTCATTAGTAGATTGCTTGCTTTCCCACTTGGCTTCTCAGATCATTGCTTTGTGCAGTTGGGTTGTGACCCACCATTTTAAATTTTCAGCCAAATGTAACTACTGCGATTCCATGCATTTCTTTCTTCTGGGTCATTCCTAATTTGCCCTCTGCCTTCATTACCGTATTGTTACTCTCGAAGTTCTCGCTATTTCTTTGAGGAGTTAATGCACAGGCAGCGGTTTTCACAAGTCCAAGAAGCGCGTGTTCGTGCATGTGGGGGGTTTTTTTTTTTAGTGTTTAAACCCAGTCAAATCTCGTGGTTTTAGCTCTTTTGTGTTCTAAATTCACTGGAGCTAGCCTCCCCATTTTGATTTGGGTTTGTATTTGTTCCGTTTCTGCGACTTGTGAAGTTGAAAGCATTTGAAGGAGGTGTCTTCTTAGCAAAGATTTTGTTTGTTTCTCGGGAAATGTGAGCTGGGTTTTCATATACTCGTAGGGGTTTGTTGGACATAATCGTTCATTTGCCCCTTTTCTGTCAATTTGGTTGGGAGATTATGAAGAAAGCATCGACCTATCATCCTTGAAGCTTTATTGAACGTTTCTGGTGTGTTCTCTTGGGACTCTGTTTTTTTGGATCAATTTCGTTGTTGGGTACCCCCAATTGGTCATATTCAGTTCATCTCAGCTGGTTTTTGAGCGGAAGCTACTCTTAGCGCCAGAAAGAGCAGACCCAAGAAAGGAGAAAAGGAAAGAAAACTTTTGACTTAATCAATTGGGGAAAATCAGAGAAGATAAACTCGTACACACCCTTCTTCAATTGTCGCTTTCATGGCGTATTGGGACCTGAAAACTCTTCCATAAAGTAAGCATCATGCAGTCCTCAAGCTTTTTCTGTTCATATTTTGGATGATTTTGCTATCCTTGGAAACGAAGCAGTCTGCAATTTTCTTCTTTTTTCTTGACCAGTGACCATTGATGAGCTTGTTTGAGGTCTTTTAAGACTGCTCTGGTTGGCGTATACCGGAGCTTTGAGGAACATACCTGAAAGTTCATCTCAGAAAGTTGTTGGAGATGGCTGATAATGAAGAGGAGATGCGATCTTTGGCCTTGACGCCCACTTGGTCTGTTGCTTCTGTGCTAACCATTTTCGTTGTAGTCTCCTTGCTCGTGGAGAGGTCCATTCACCGGCTAAGCACTGTAAGCATTTCACCTAGTGGTTCTATCATAACTGACCCATATGAATCTTTCATAGCCATCACTCGCATACTTGTTCATGATTGTTCCTTTTGTAATCTCAGTGGTTGAGGAAGACTAACCGAAAGCCATTGTTAGAGGCAGTGGAGAAAATGAAAGAAGGTAAATGGCTATGCCATTCACTCAATCACTCAAGACGTGCTTAGCTTATAATTAAGAGCTTTGCTATCCATTCTTCTTATGTCTTAACTCATAGGCATTTGATTTTCTGGTTTCAGAGTTGATGCTTCTTGGATTTATTTCTCTCCTTTTAACAGCTACATCAAGCTTAATATCAAATATCTGCATCCCATCAAGGTTCTATAATACCCCTTTTACTCCATGTACCAAAGCCGAGATTGATGAACAAAAAGAAGACAGTTCATCTAAAGAACGGAAACTATACACCGTTTCGGTATTACCCCATTTGTTTAGGCGGATGCTTGATGGGAATGAGAAAACCTGCAAAGAGGCATGTCATAGAGTTCACATGACTTAAATAACAACTCTTTCTTCTTCCAAGCTAATGCTGATTGAAGTTTTCAAATATTCGTTGTGCAGGGTTATGAGCCGTTCGTTTCGTACGAGGGTCTCGAGCAATTGCATCGCTTTATCTTTATAATGGCAGTAACTCATATATCTTATAGCTGCTTAACAATGTTACTGGCAATCGTAAAGGTACTTTATCTCGACGGACGTAGAATATTGGTATTTGATGAGAAATTGCAAAATAATCACAAATGTTACTAGTTGTAATTGTTTGATATATGATAAATCAGATTCACAGATGGAGAGCTTGGGAAGATGAAGCCCATATGGACAGACATGATTCACTAAAGGGTAAGCTCTATGGTCGTATTGTGGGATTAGAAACACAGCATTATTGTAATCATCTTCTGTTTAGCGTTAGATATACAACTAGAACGAAACTAAGCCTTATATCGTCCTCTCGAGTACCGTTTTGTTTATGATACTGAAAATTTTAGTTAGTTTAGTGCAATATTCATGTCGATCTTTGTTGATTCAATACTGTTCGAGAGTTTGGAATCATTCATGAAACAAATATTTCCCCTCCTATATCTTGAGTTCGTGTTGTATCGAGTATGTAGTATGAAGGACGTTTGCTTTCTTTTAAGGTTCCAAGTGAGCTGACGATTTCTTTTTTATTAGAAACAAATTTCTCACGCTAACAATTAGTTCTATACCGCCATAGATATCACGAGAGAAATGACACTGCGGAGGCAATCGACCTTTGTTCGATATCACACTTCACATCCTATTACACGGAACAGCTTTCTAATCTGGGTGGTATGCTTTCAACTTCCACATATTTTACTTTCATTTTGATTTAGTCCCTGTATTCCTAATAAATTGCAGTCTTTCCTCTTACCCTTTCAAAGTTTTACTGCTGCCTTGACATATCTTCTGCTTTGAACTAATCGAATTTATGAATTGTAGACATGTTTCTTCCGACAATTCGGGAATTCTGTAGTTCATGCTGACTACCTCACACTTCGCAAGGGCTTCATCATGGTTCGTCGAAATGGTTTGCTAGCATTTTTGTCAGTAGTTGCCTACTCTCAAGCTGTTATATTTTGGGAATCTGTTGCTTAATCCCTAGTTTGAGTTTGGAGGACATGTGCAATAGTTACAAATTTTTATTATTTCAATGCATGAATCCGTGTTTGAATTGTTCATGCTAATATAAATCGTAGTAAAATCCAACGTAGCTACGATATTTAAGGTGGCTCATCTACAGCTGATAATGTATGTTTTTTTTTTTAAGGTACTTAATCTGTATTCTTATGACCCGAAATAGTAAAACATGTTTTTTTGTATTTGATCTTATTTGTTGCAGAATCATCACCTCCCTTTGACGTATGATTTCCACAGCTACATGATTCGCTCCATGGAAGAAGAATTCCAAAGGATAGTAGGTGTGAGGTAGGTGAAATGACCACAAATTTCAATTTCGATACCGTTTGAATGGGATATTCGATATCTGCATTCAGTCTGCAACACGGAGGTATTCGAATACGAGGGGCATACTGTGGAGCCCTTTTTAAAAAACATTGGAATTTGTGAGATCCTACCTCGGTTGGAGAGGGGAACGCAACATTCTTTATAAGGACGTGGAAACTTCTCCTTAAAAACCTTGAGGGAACAAGCCCAAAGAGGACAATATCTGCTAGTGGTGGGCTTGAGTTGGTGCAGTGCTATTTTGAGATCTCACGTTGGTTGGAGAGGAAACCTCTCTGTAGTAAACGCGTTTTTAAAACTGTGAGGCTGACGAGGATACCTAATGGCCTAAAGAGGACAATATCTGCTCGCGGTGGGCTTGGGTCGTTACAAATGGTATTAGAGCCAGGATCGGGCAGTGTGCTTGCGAGGACGTTGGGTTCCCAAGCGGGGTAGATTGTGAGATCTTGTATTAGTTGGAGAGGGGTACGAAACATTTCTTATAAGGATGTGGAAACCTCTCCGGCTTTACTATGTATGCATGCATATTAGACCCCATAGGAGATGTGAAAGCTGATACATCTTCTCTTCAATGCAGCGCTCCGTTGTGGGGATTCGTCGTTGCTTTCATGCTGTTTGATGTAAAAGGTAAAACTCTCTGTTGGAGAAGTGGTTTGATCCAATTGCATGAAATATATCATTGTGTTCATCAATCCTTTCTTTGCATTACTGCAGGATCTAATCTGTACTTCTGGATAGCATCCATTCCAATTGCTGTGAGTGCGCTCTCTCCTTTATATCTCACTCCTCGTACTCTAATTTCATTATCTCTCATAATCAAAAACAACTTCTTAGCTTGTTTAAATAGATCATTTTTCTATACCAGCTTTTTTAGATCTTGTTTGAACCCGATACGTGTTGATACCTTGTTTTTAGCTTGTTCTTCTCGTGGGCACGAAGCTGCAGCATGTCATTGCAACGTTGGCATTGGAAAGTGCTGGTATAACCAGTTCTTTTTCGGGTCCGAAGCTAAAGCCAAGAGATGATCTTTTCTGGTTTAAGAAGCCTGAACTTCTCTTGTCCTTGATCCACTTTATCCTTTTCCAGGTCTATATTGATTATTTACATTAGAATGATCGGAAATCGACCTTTTTGTTTATATCGGATTTGGTGAAGCTTTTTTATTTAACCTTCCTTGCAGAATGCGTTTGAGTTGGCGTCGTTCTTCTGGTTTTGGGTACTTTCCTCTTTTCATAATTATGACCAACTTAATTTCTATGGATATCGAACATTGACTGTCTGAGATCCCACATCGGTTGGAGAAGGCAACGAAACATTCTTTATAAGGGTGTGGAAACCTCTCTCTAACAAACACGTTTTAAAATCGTAAGACTGATGACGATATGTATCGGGCCGATGTAGTCAATATCTACTAGCGGTGGGCTTAGACGGTTACAAATAGTATCAGAGCCAGTCATCGAGTGGTGTGCCGGCAAGGACGTGAGTCCCTAAGGGGGTGGATTGTGAGATCCCATATTGGTTGGAGAGGGGAACAAAACGTTCCTCGTAAAGGTGTGGAAACCTCTCCCTAACAAACGCGTTTTAAAACCGCGAGGTTGATGACGTAACAGATCAAAGCGGACAGTATCTGCTAGTAGTGGCCTTGGGCTGTTACAGCCTGGGCGTTGCAGTTTACAACGAAATAATAGGAAAAATGAAATGGAACTAACAAGATCACGAAATAAGAAATACGGATGGAGAAAACTCTGCTAGAACTACTTGTTACTAATCCTTCCTTTTTTCTTTTTAATTTACAGTGGCAATTTGGATACAATTCTTGCTTTATTAGGAACCATATGCTTGTTTATGCAAGACTCATCTTGGGGTATGCATAAATTGAAGTTATTACTCGTTACGTGCTTGCATAAAGAGCTATTTTCGTTGCGTATGATATTCGGTTTTTCTGTAGATTCGCCGGGCAGTTCCTTTGCAGCTACAGCACCTTGCCCTTGTATGCTCTGGTAACTCAGGTAACAGTTTCGGACACGATGGTCGAGCTAGTTTCTCTTCGTATTCTGAGTACTCAGATTAACCTTTGCTTTTCTTAGATGGGAACAAACTATAAAGCTGCATTAATTCCACAAAGAATAAGGGAAACAATCCATGGATGGGGCAAGGCAGCAAGAAGGAAAAGAAGGCTTGGCATGTTCACCGATGACACCACGATTCATACCGAAACAAGCACGGTTATGTCAATTGAGGATGATGACCGTCGGCTTATCGATGATACTTACGAAACTACTACTGGCTATACGACAATCGAGTTACAGCCAATTTCCGTACAAGAACAATCCGACCCTGTTGTTAATGAATGGCCAAGCAGAGCTAGAACGTCGCTTCTGCAATCCTCTGCGTCTCTTTCTTCACCGGTTGATCCGAAGTTGGAGGTTGAAAACTTTATGAGAAGCTTTTCTATGCCAGTTAAAAGATAGTATACTCAGCGCAGCAATGATATAACATTCGACCGAAATCAAGTGTCGAGAATATACGAGGTTAGAGGTTTATAGGAAAGAGATACTCATATCGAACATGAACTTAGGGAAGTTAGCATATATGTAATATATTCATAAAAGAAAGTTCTGTATTGATATTAAAAGATGAATTCAGATCATGAAGCTTTATATTTGTAAGCCACAAGCAGTTTTGATATTATTGACTAAGATGTTAATGTTGGTCATGAAGAGCTTCATGTCTTAAGTTCCTTAATGCATTGGAGTCATTGATTCACTGCTGGGACGATCGGAGTTGGATTCATTCTGTTCCTCGACCTTGACATTGGTTCTCACACAGCCACAGCACGGGCTCGGTCCCTGCCATTGGCACGACGGAGGAGAAGGATGGCCAACCGAGCCAGCACAACAGTTGTTGCTCGGATTCTCCACACACCCACATCCATTTTGGACACAATGAGGAGGGGAGTTGTCATAGTCGCCTCCATTCCCACAGCAGTTCGGTGAACCGACGCAGCTTCCCGTGTGACCGTAATTGCAGCAGTCCTGCGCATAAGGCAGACGTTGGCCTACAACCTCGCTCTGAGCAATGGCGTCATCGATAACTTGTTCATTGGCAAAGCCAAGGTGAAGAAGGGTGCAGAAGAGCAGAAAGAGAGTGAGAAACTTGGATTTGGAAATGGCCATTTCTGCAGAAGCTCTTCTTGTGTTCTTGGGCAGGCTATGAATGGATTGTGAAAGTGAAGATCTTGCATGGCTTTTTATATGGGATTGTGAGACAAGGGGCAGCTTTTCATGAACATTAAAATGCAAAAGGCACACAAAGAGCATTGTGTGGTTTCTTCTTGAAATTTCGTCCGACTATATAAACAGATGAACTATGTTTAAATTGATATATTTTTTATTAATATATCTGGGTCTAAAAAGCCCATAGACCATCAAGACCCAATCTTTTTTAGAAAAACGTATAAAATATCGATTATTATTTTAAAAGTCAATAATTTAATATCTCGCTTAATTATTAAAAGAAATATCATTTTCAATGTATGATCGAGTTATTTAGCTTATTTTTATGACTTATTTGACGAAAGGTCTCACGAGAATTTAGACCAATAATATTAATTCAAAATATTATATTATTCGCTTGCCAGCTGGACATTTGATATTAGAAAAAAAAGAAAAAAAAGGTAAAAAAATTATAAATATATAGGGTAGAGAGAGAGAGAGAAAGTGGTGGATCCAAGGAGGAGGAAGGGATAATTGAGAAAGAGTAGGGTGTGGTCTTCTGGTGAGAGGGCACAGCTCTTAAATGCCTATGTTTCTACCTCATCCCCTCCACCTCTCTCTCTAAATTTCTTTTTATTAATAAATAATTCTTTTATTTCAAGAAACCGCTCGTTATCGATCCAAAATTTACTTCTGTTTTGGCTCGAAAATATTTAGTTAATAAAAAGAAACATTCGATATTTTATACTCGAGGTTAAATCTACTAGGAGCAAACACAATCATGTATCTTGTCCGACCCAGTACACCAATGTGTTATTTCTATCTTATTTTATGCACTTTACTACAATCAGATAAGATTCAAGAACGGACGAGATATGATTAGATTTATATTTAATTTGAGTTATTAAAAGAGTCGGTTGGATGATATTAAAAATATATGATAGGATGGAAATATATCTAGTTTGAGGCTAATGCAATTATTTATTAGAGTGGAACCTCTCTAACTAACCGCTAAAATAATTTCATAACTTCATAACTATTATAGTAGAAATTTTGTTAGGTAATAAATAAAATTTTATATAATGTCTTCCACTGCTAAAACACCCGCATTTTTATTGTTCACTATTTAAAGCCTCAAATTTTGACCTCACTTTCTGGTATGTTACTGTGAAATGAATTAAAAAAAAAAACCTAAATTTGACCACACTTTAGTACTAGAGTACGGGGAACGAAACATTTTTTTATAAGAGTATGAAAATCTCTCACTTATAAATGTGTTTTAAAACTGTGAGGCTAATCGACGTAACAGGCTATAGCAGATAATATCTGTTAGCGGTGGGCTTGAACTATTACAAATGGTAACAGACACTGGTAGGAGTAGGGCTAGACCCTCTCCATAGTAGGTTTTAAAATTGTGAAGCTAATAGCGATACATAACACGTCGAAACAGACAATATTTGCTAGTTGTTGACTCAAAATGTTACAAATAGTATCAGAGGCAGACACTGTGCGATGTACCAACGAGGATGCTAGGCCCCCAAGAAGGTGGATTGTGAGATCTTAATTAAATAAAGGAATGAAAGCTTGCTTATAAGAGTATGAAAACTTTTCACTAGCAGATACATTTTAAAACCGTGAAACTGACAACTCTGCTAGTATTAGACGTGAGCTGTTACACACTAGTTTGTAGTCTAATGAGACCGCGTCTAATCTAATCTATACTTGAAGTAATATGAGTCTAGCACGAATATCGAGATATGGGATTGGATTAAGGAGGTTAGTAGCACATGGGGTGAGTAATTAAGGAAGAAGGTCATGTGAGTATGTGCCCAACAGGAGAAGTCGCTTTATGCCATCTATATCCTCCTCTCCCATTGCCATGCTTAATCCCCTTGCTTGGTTGCTGGGTTGCACGCCCACCTAGCCACCTTCCCCACTTTTCTCACTTTCACCCAACCAACTCCCTCCCAACGTTATCCATTTCCCCGCCCCCACACGCTACGCCACGTCTTTCTTAAATATATGCTCTAATGTTTACGTTGGATATACATGATTGTTACATGGAGGCACTAGTTCGCGATTAATGTTATCCATCGGTAGTTTTCTAAATTTTAAGTAGTTGTCTAGATTATGGGACCTAGTTCAAGCCAACGAGCGCCAAACATAAACTTACAAGACTTTTAGATGTGTTATTGTGTCTAATCAAACTATAATCACAGTTGAAGCTGCACATTGGCTTGACAATCATCATAATTCTTCGAATGTATCGATTTAAACTAAATAAATGATCGATAATTTTCGTATTTAAAATCAAACATAGATTACTGTTAAGGATAGTTGACCGTTCATTAAGGCAAATATCTAGATATTTGCCTTACATTACGGGTTACCATATTTTCTCTTTTACTAAATGCAAATATATTGTATTCATTTATTATTCTTTCCTTTTATCGCTATTTCCTTATTATTTGTAATTTACCTTATTTCTGTATTCTGTAAATGATTATAAATAAGAGAACTCTCGCCACCATTTGGGTGTGGTGGATTAATCAAACATTCACATGGTATCAGAGCCCTTTCGGTTTAACAACCCTGATCCTTTCTTCTCTATGGCTTCCGAATCTTGTTATCATCTTCTTCCTTTCAATACTCTAATCCATATGATCACCATCAAACTTTCTTCCTCCAATTATCTTCTTTGGAAAAGCCAACTTCTCCCTCTTCTTGAGAGTCAAGACATGCTGGGCTATGTCGATGGAACTATGGTTCCACCACCTCGCTTTGAACCAGAAACCTCCTCAACATTCAACCCCAAATATTTGGCATGGAGAGCAGCCGATCAACGACTTCTCTGTCTCCTGCTCTCCTCTCTCACTGAGGAAGCCATGGCTGTTGTCGTTGGTCTCTCTACTGCACGTGATGTTTGGCTTGCGTTGGAAACTACGTACAGCCATCAGTCAAAAGCTCGTGAACTGAGACTCAAGGATGACTTGCAGTTGATGAAACGTGGCACAAAACCTGTTGCTGAGTATGCCCGTGCCTTCAAAAAAATTTGTGACCAACTTCATGCCATTGGCAGACCCGTCGAGGACATTGATAAAGTGCATTGGTTCCTTCGTGGACTCGGCACCGAATTTTCAGCTTTTTCTACTGCTCTGATGGCTCTCACCCCTATCCCCTGTTTTGCAGATCTAGTCTCTAAAACTGAAAGTTTTGAGTTGTTCCAGCGCTCCCTTGAGTCCTCTGACTCCACTCCTACAGCATTCATAGCCACTAATCGTGGCCGCACCCATGAAAGTCACCCTGCTTCCTTTACCAACCAGCGAGGTCGTTCTTATTCTCACAAAAACAACTCTTCTAATCGAGGACGAACCCACTCAAGTCAGGGTCGTCGACCACCTCATTGCCAAATATGCCGCAAAGAGGGCCATTATGCTGACCGCTGCAACCAACGGTATGTTCGACCTGATTCTTCTCATGCTCACCTTGCTGAAGCCTTTAACACGTCATGTTCTATTGCTGGACCTGATGCTGCTGATTGGTTTTTGGACACTGGAGCTTCGGCCCATATGACTGCCGACCCATCAATTCTGGATCAGTCTAAAAATTACACGGGTAAGGACTCTGTGATTGTAGGAAACGGTGCATCCCTACCCATTACCCACATCGGTACTCTTTCTCCTGTTCCAAATATTCACTTATTAGATGTCTTGGTTGTCCCTCACCTCACTAAAAATCTTCTTTCCATAAGTAAATTAACGTCTGATTTTCCTCTCTCCGTTACATTTACTAATAATCTTATTACTATCCAGAATCATCAAACAGGAAGGGTGGTGGCAACCGGTAAAAGAGATGGAGGGCTATATGTGCTGGAGCGCGGCAACTCTGCTTTTATTTCAGCCCTTAAAAACAAATCTTTACGTGCTTCATATGATTTATGGCATGCTCGTCTGGGTCATGTGAATCATTCTGTTATTTCTTTTTTAAATAAAAAAGGTCATCTTTCTCTTACGTCTTTATTGCCTTCTCCATCATTATGTAATAGTTGTCAGCTTGCGAAAAGCCATCGATTGCCTTATTCCCGCAATGAACGTAGGTCGTCTCATGTGTTAGATCTTATTCATTGTGATCTTTGGGGTCCTTCTCCCGTCAAATCAAATTCGGGTTTTCTTTATTATGCTATTTTTATTGATGATTATTCTCGATTCACTTGGTTTTACCCTTTAAAATTTAAATCTGATTTTTTTGATATTTTTCTTCAATTTCAAAAATTTGTGGAAAATCAATATTCTTCTCGTATCAAGGTATTTCAAAGCGATGGTGGTACCGAATTTACTAGTACTTGTTTCAAAACTCATTTACGTAATTCTGGCATCCACCATCAACTCTCTTGTCCATATACACCTGCTCAAAATGGTCGTGTTGAGAGAAAACATCGTCATGTGACTGAGACTGGCTTGGCCCTTCTCTTTCACTCTCATCTTTCTCCTCGTTTTTGGGTTGACGCCTTCAGCACTGCAGCTTATATTATCAACCGGTTGCCTACTCCACTTCTTGGAGGTAAGTCACCCTTTGAACTCCTTTATGGCTACACTCCACATTATGACAATTTTCATCCCTTTGGTTGTCGTGTTTATCCTTATTTGCGTGATTATATGCCTAACAAGCTTTCTCCCCGCAGCATTCCTTGTATTTTTTTGGGTTATAGTCCTGTTCATAAAGGGTTCCGCTGTCTTGATCCCGCCACCACTAAGCTATATATCACCTGCCATGCTCAATTTGATGAAACTCACTTTCCTGCTATCCCTAGCTCCCAAGCCCAACCTCTTTCCACTATTCCTATTTCAAATTTCTTGGAACCACATCTTCATCATATTGATTCATCCCCCCCTACCACTTCATCACCGCACATTCCTCAATCCAGTTCATCCCCGTGTGATATTTGTTCTGACCTTGTAGATGAGTCTGTGCAGGTTGATACTTCTCTTGCAGGTTCCACTTTGTCAC